TGAAGGCTTCTGGGAGCTGCAGTCCAAAACTCCTGAGTAACTCAAGGTTAAGAACCAGTGATTTAAAGCACTCATATTAAATAGGATTGGACAAATGCTTTTCAAAGTGTCACTGAAGGGATCAAGCATCTCCATCTGCACCACTCGGAATGTGCTAGGGCATATTCAAGGCCCTTAATGATCCTCTAAAACCAAAGCACCTCTCGTATATACAAGTAAAGCTACTCAGTAAGCAGCAGTGATAAATATTTCTGCAGCTCCTTGGTTTATTCATCAATAAGGCACTATCATATGTCAGGTCTTATTAAATGATACGCGAGACAATATGTCGATGAAATCATTTCTACCATCTCAAGTGTTATTGAAGAGTGTTAAAGAGATGTTTTGTACTGCTGGGTGGAAGGTTAGGATGTACCTGGCAAAAAAAACCTTAGAAAATTGACTAGATATTTGACTTCAGTATCTTGCTTTCTGAAAGCATGATGTAGCACCTCACAGCACACACGCATCACCATGTTACATCATTAACTTTAAAAAACATAAGGCATCAGATTCCTTTTGACACTGTTTACAGAAGAAGAGCCAAGATTAGTGTAACTCTGTTCTCATCCTCTAAGGTGCTCGAGCTGTCATATGTGCTTCCCCATCAACATCTCCACCTTATCTACACAACAACCCTCTGAAGTAACAAGTAATCCAAAGGCTACCACTCTAAGGTGCTCGAGCTGTCATATGTGCTTCTCCATCAACATCTCCACAACAACCCTCTGAAGTAACAAATAATCCAAAGGCTACCACCGATCTTCATGGTTCAACTGGGATTCAAGGCTAAGTGTCACAGGTGAAATGGATTCACTACACCAGACCACACTGTCTCTTTCCAACTCCATTAGACCTCCATTCTATCATTTTATTACAGCATCCTTTACTCCCAACAGGAGTACATCTTTTCCAGCCCTGCCGCTTGAGATCCTATTGCCTAAAGAAGGCAAGGGCCTCCTGCACAATAAGCCTGTGCCCTACTGCTTGGAACGTGCTGGACAAGGACAAGCTGAGATTACAATACATGGCCTGCTGCACTCAAACAAGCCCTACATGTTAGCTGTGGAACAACCAACAGCTGTACAGTAAAGCTGAATTTCATGTTTTACACATATTTATGATATTTTCTTCAATTTATCCAGGATGCATTTATTTTGGCTTATTTGTGCATGACTAAACGTGACACCCAGCTATATCATTATGACATGTGGTTGGTTAAATCTATTTTAGGCTATGCTTGCCATTCTTTAACTATTGCCTGTCCACTGAAAGAAAGAAAAGAAACAGCGGTTGGATTCTTCTGCTTTTCTAATCCAAACCTGTGGTTATTCTTTGATGCCAGGTCATTCCCAATTTATGGTAACTCTATGAATTAATGGCCTCCAAAAAAATCTGATCATAAAGAGCCCAATTCAGATCTTGCAAAACTAAATGCCATGGCTTTGTTTGTCGAGTCAATCCAGCTTTCCCTAGTGTCTTTTTCTTTCTTTTATGATATGCTCAACGTACAATAGTGTCGGTTTAGTAAACTGAGGCTATCAGCTTACTAAACTACTCCTTAAATAGCTTGCATATTTTGAAATCCTTATTAGTGTCACTATAAATCAGTGGCAACTTGATATCGCATAACAAATTAGTATCAGAATTCATTTTAGCGATGAGTCAGGCCTTGCAATTAATCCAGGTCCATGGAACTAGAGCAAGTGGTGGGAATCAGAGTATAAGATGGATGATTCAACAATCCTGTCTGGATGTTGAAACTAATTTACACACACCACACACATGCAACTATTTTACACAGTTGCTTTTTTCCCAGGAAAACAGCATTTGTAAAATTGGTCTCCTCTTAATTTTGGCACAGTGTTAAAACAAAGACAGACTCTGCCTAACGGCAGGCTAGAAGTGGAACTTGACAGCACAAAGTGTATTCCAGCCTCAGAGAAAGAGGACCATGCAATCAGTGTGACAAAAAAGAGAATAAGGTAGGGGAAACAGTGCTCTGTTCCAGTGTCTTGAATATATGGAAATGTGTGGAAAATCTGTGGTAGCCTGTGAAAGGCTTCACATCAAAAACCACAAGGAAGGGGAAAGGGCGGCGGGGGGGGAGGAAGAGGGGGGACACATGCCTGATCCTGGGAAAAAGATTTAAGAGAAAAAGAAGAAATGGCTTGGTGCCATATTGCAGCCTGCTGCCAGGTCAGCAGTGTACTGGAAGACATCCTGGGGAAATCAGATGTGGGAGCTGGCTAAAGCTTGTCTGGATTTGGAGCTTATGACAGGAACTAGAGATAATTGCCCATTGATACCACTGCATCAGCAAATCATTGTACAGAGGGCCCTTCGAGGGACACAAAACCGGGCTTTGATGTGTTGGCTTCTTTTGGCACTAGAGGGCACTCTTCTACTGGCCAGAAGGGGGATGTAGGACATTCTCCCACCCCAGACGCACCAATTAACACCCTAGTTCAGCAGAGGATTTGGTGGGAATAGGCAGCTGTAGGAAATTGTTATTTCCCATTTTAGTAATGGAAAACTCTGGCTCTCTTTAATTTTCAACAAGAGCCACCATCACCCGGATTCATATTTTTCTGGATTCCTCACTTTGCCGCTTAAGAAAGTGTTAAGTCGCTTACCACAACTGGAAGGCCAAGTGAGAGTCTTGTGCTTGGCAGGCCAAGGAAGGCATCAGCCAGCCTCCGGCTGAAATTTGAATCACATAGCTCTTGTCAGCAATAATGGTTATAAAACTTCCAACCCCAGCAGCTGCTATAATGAGATGCTTATTAACCTTGGTTTCCAAACCCTGTTTGGATTTTTAAAAGGTCTTGAATAATGAAAAATCTGCTTGCCTTTCACAATTTCAGGTGCATTGCATCACCTTTGATCAAGCCCATGGAAGGCAATAGGCTTTAAACCTCAAAGGGCAGGAAAAGAGAAATAAATGAGGATCAGTAAATCCTTGCTTCCTTCTATTCAACCTGGACCATACTCTGGTTGTTGTGGGTTTTTCGGGTTCTTTGGCCATGTTCTGAAGGTTGTTCTTCCTAATGTTTCGCCAGTCTCTGTGGCCGGCATCTTCAGAGGACAGAACTCTGTTTCTTGATTATCTCCCTCCAGTTATATGAAGCAACCAAATCACATCTCACTGCTGGTTATGTTTATCTGTGCCACAAACTTTGAAGAATTTGTGAAGGCAAGATGTTGTGTCCTCTTCTTTGTGAGGTTTTATGTGGGAGACTTATTTGGGAAGGCAGGCCTAGTCCCCCATACCAGTTCATTCAGAACAGCCTTAAGAAGAACACACAAGTCAAGTTTCTGAAGTCCCTACCTGGCTAACACATCTGACTTAAGATGTACAGAATACTCAGACAGGCCAACCCTTCTCAAGCAGCCACCAGCCCCAAAGCAATATTCGATGAGGAAGTACACTTCCAGATAGTGTCATCTGCTCTCAGAGGTCCATCCTAAGTGTAATAGCAAGGGAAGGTTTACAGAAGCCACCCAACTCTTGGCACTTCTGCCAAATTCTCAAAGCAGTGGTGGCTGTGGATTGCTCTCTCTCTCCCTTTCCACAAAGAGATATTCACTCAAACCCCAAAGTCTTGTTGTGATAAATCCTTCTCCTCTGGACAGAATCACACACCGACTCTGGACTCAGCATGTCCAGATGCTTCCCAATTAAGTGATCTTAGACTTGAGGTTTAGAAGCCATCTGTGAAGATCACACTGGAAATGGCTGCTGCTAACAGCTATCTGGAGTTGAAAACACTAGGCAACAGGAAGCCTTCAATCCCATCCGGCACAGATCTTATGTTTTTACAAGGGGCTGGGCTGGCTCAGGATGAGGCAGTTCCCTCTGCCCTCAACATCAGTGATCTTGAACAACAAAACAGGCAGTAATTTGTTACAGCTCTGCTCTCCCATTCTGACAGAGCCTAAAAGGCCTCTCACTCCAGTGACAACACTCCTTTCATAGTAGCTTCATTAAGACCAGACCTCCACAGAGCGCCAGCTTTTCATTTGTCTCAGGATCTCAGCTGGTGCTCCCGGAAGATTGCCCGCAGAGTCTCGGCCGTTTTTGCTGCTTTTGGAGATGGCTATGCTAGCGTCAGCCAAGAAGCACACAGCCAAAGACGAACCGGACACACATCCCTAAACACATCCCGGTTGACTGAAAGAGCAAAGCAGCACGAGGCCAAAGGTGCTTAGTGAGGAAGAAAGGAGAAGAAACGGAACCCCATCCGAGAAGGGAAACATAACAGCAGTAGAAAGGGAGGCATCAATTCCGCCACTCCTATCCAGTCAGTCAGAGCGCACGAACCTGGCCTTGACAGAGTGACAACGGCAGCCGAGGGAGTTCTCTTGTGGCAACAACCTGGCTTTGTTAGCCAAGTCTCCTTAATTACAAGGATCATGAAGACTGGACAAGATAGTTCCTTGCTGAAGCAAGAAGAGACAAGGTTGGAAAGGAGAGCTCAGAAAAGTTACTTTTGGATTACAGCTCCCAGCACTGCCCCAGCCAGGATAGCTTCCGGCAAACAGGGGAGTCTGAGATTTTTTTAAAATAAAAACAAAAGGATTTTTTCAGAGAACTGGTAGATGGTATCACTCAAAACAGCTGCGGGAGATGAGGGAAGATTGACAAAATATTGTCTCTTTTGCCTCTGCTTTGGAGCCACACTGCAGACCAAGAGAGTCGGGAGGAACTGTCAGATACAAGGCACTGTCTGGTTCACTCAGAGCTGCCCGACGTTCTCCCTGGAGAAAGACCAGCACCATCAAGAGCCTTAGTTCTTCTGTGACAAAGAGGACAAGACACACATGCAAGTGGGGCAACACATAGCATGTCAACCTGTTATTGGGGTCTGAAGGCAGACATGGGTCACAGCTAGAGTCTCCTTTATTGGCAGAGAGCAAGGGGAGGAAACATCCTCAGAGCAATTACCACACAAATACCATTTACTTTCTCAGTGTCTTTAATTCTGTTTGTTTTATTTTGAGGTAAAGCTTTTTGGTTCTCCTGTAACAGATGGAGGGATCCAACTCAGTGTCAACCAAACAGGGGACACGGCATGGCATTCCTATTCCCCTTTAGACTGCCCTTATCCAGACAGTATGTTCTAGAAAAAGCAGTGCCCACCCTATTCCATCCCACTGGTAAATAACAGTATTCCCCCCCCCCCAATAGAACTTGCTACTCTTCAGAACAATCCCCACTGGCCATTTTCTACCACCCTAAAGCAGCGGTTCCCAACCTTTTTTGACTTGCAGTTCTCTTAGCTTACTGGCTGCTGGTCAAGGCTTCCCAATACAATAGGGTTGAGGGAAGCGCCACCTGAGTAGCACTTCCTACTCATCCTTTGTAGGAAATGCTACTCAGGCCAGGCTTCCTCCTTCCATTTCCCCACCCCATGCAAAATATTGTACTGAGGGAGCCGCAGCCAGTGGCCAGTAGTCAAAGGAGCTGCAAGTTGAAAAAGTTTGGGAATTACTGCCATATTTTCATAACGGAGAAGGGAAAATATCTGTCCCCTTCCCCCTTTCATGGCAGTGGAGCTGAAGCTATGATCCCTAAGAAAAAGGAGGAGGGAAGGGAATCAGGGAATGAGGTTGAGGTGCCCGCTCTGTGGTTTGTTTGGTGTTTGTTATCTCTCTTTTCGTTTTATGCAATCATTTAGGTTACTTTTGTTCCTTCTTCCGGGCTGGCAAGTTCACCCGTCTTCTCCACAAGGCCCAGAGTCCTCACCCGCAGCTAGTTCCAGCTACAAGGCTTCCGCCCTGCCAGGCTTGTGACGGAGACCCAAAGCACAGCCGCCACCAACTTGTCACCAGTGGCGGTGCTGGTGGTGGCAGAGCAGCCACGTCCGCAGTGCATTAGAGCAGCAGACGCAGAGGTGGCTCAGGCAGCACTGGGAGCTCGGGCGGGAATAGCAGTGGGGAGGCAGGAGTAGGGGAGGCAGCGCCACTCACAGCGGCCTCATTCCCACCCACCCCCAACTTCAAGCGATGTGTCTGAGGCTGCCAACTGCCTGGCCCTGCCACTCCGCCCAGCAGATCTTTGAAGGTGAAGCTTCAGAGTTTTCTCTGTCAGTTTTCCCATCCTTTTTTTCTTTTCTTTTTTGTTTGGGTTGGGACATCATGATGCAGAGAAAGAGAGAGAAAATAAAATCTCTTTTAAAAAAAGAAAAGACTAAATACAGAGCAGCTGCAAAAAAGCTTTTCCATCCTCGAAGATGGCATCTGCTGCCTCCAGGACTTTGCAAACATTCAGCCTAGGAGAGCACCCTTCCCTTCACAGAGCCTCCAGGGCTTTGTGAACAAAGGATCAGATGTACTGAAGAATCAGCTTTCTGCCTGGTCTGCCCTAGAATCAGCAGCAGTAGCAGCAGCTGGCGCAGCCCAACAAAATCTGTGTGTGTTCATAGAGGAAGCCAAAGTGGTAATCAAAGTTTTCATGGTGTGTTGAGACTGATCCACTTGGTGAACGCGCAGATTGAGTCTCTCCCCCCCCCCTCTTTATGAGCTCCTCCTGGCCTAGCCCAGAACTAGGCCACCTTCTCTGTGCACCTTCTCTGCAGCCTCTCTTCCTTTATCTCTTCCCACCACCAGAAGTAATGTGGGAAGCCATTGGTTTCTTTTTTGTATTTGTGGTAGAGATGGGCAGGTCCTGCAGTTTGGTGCGGTTCATCAAATCAGGCCCAAAGGTGTTGCTCAGGTGCCACAGAATCCGGCCTGCCACTTCCTGCAGGCACCCACTCAGAGGAGGAGGAGGAGAAAGCAGGGGAGGGGAGGGCAGCCCATGGCGCTGCCTCTGACAAGAAGCCTGTGGAGGAGGCATCGTGCAGAATCCAGAGCACCCACACGACACTGGTTGGCTCAATCCAATGAACCGTGCCAAACTGCTGACCTGTGCTAAATGCCCGTCTCTAGACGAGAGGATTCCAGAGCACCCCGCCTGGGTTTGGCAGCATCCAGTCTGGCAATCACTGCCGGAAAGAGACATGCAACAGCAGCTATCTCTCCTCACCACAGCAGTTCCATTAAACCAAACACACACCCCTCTATAAACTTGGGTTCCAGTTTTATCATCGTGCCCCCACCTCACCCTATAACAGAAGAGCCAACACTCCCTCCCCTCAATTCTAGTGGCAAAGGGTCCCGGGCACATGAAAACAAATGCAGACCTTCAGACCTTGCCCCACTACCTTTGCGTCACTTGGCTCACCTCCCTAACCCCACACATCCTGCTCCCCTTTGGGCAGCAGATCCCCATTGCACCAGGTCAGCTTCTGTCTTGGAGGTACCTCTGGACAGCTCACAACCACAGTCAACGGGGGGGTGGTGGTGGTGGGAGATGGACTAGCTGTGCCTCACAGCAGCCCTCCCCCCCCAGCGTCTGCCAGTCCCCTAAATTACTTTCTATTACGATAGTCCATCAGTCCATGAACAGGAGGAGGGTCCTTTCCCCTCTTGACAGCCTGGCGGCACAGATGGGAGAGGTCGGACAGTCTGTTCAAGAGTAGGTCTGCTACATCACTGCTATATAAAGATATAAAAACCAAGGGGCCGGTGGCTCCTATTCCTCCCTTTCTGGCTACCTTGCTGCCTACTGCACCTCTTCCCTCTGCCCCATCCAAGGCCGCTGGACCTTCCTGGCAACCACACAGATTCCAGTGAAGGGGTGGCCTAGTGCCAACAGGCCAGAAGAGAGAAAGTCACTAGGAACTGGAGTCCCAGGTTCCAGGAAAGGGAGGAGCCACCACCCGGCGGGTTCAACTGTTCCTCGCATCCTTTCCCCTGCCATCCCTGGTAGCAGTGGCATCGGAAGTTGGTCCGGAGGAAGGCAATGTCCGCCTGTGACATCTCGCCTCTGGGTATAAGCAGTGGCTTTCGCTGCCCAGAATCGTTGGGAAGGATCTGGAAGTTGGCTGGGTTGAGATGCAGGAAGACATTGGCATTGCTCTCTTGGCGCCGGCAGCGGCCGTGGCTACGGCACAGAGTCTGGCTGCAGAGGTTGGCGGCTGTCGTCACATTGACAACGTAATGCCCAAGGTCCTCCTCAATGTAGTTTTTAATCACTTGGCAGGTTTCCTAAAGAAAAGAGGATTCAAAGAGGTGAAGAGTGATTGAGAGACGGAAAAGCGACCCAACAAACAGGGGACAAGAGCAGGAGCCCCTGCCAGGATTTCCTCCCATAGTTTTCAATCAAGGAGCTGGTGAGAAGGGGCAAAGGAAAGCCACTGTAACATATCAGTGAGAGAGAGCTTCTGAACATCTATTGTACAAACCGTGGAAATTCAAATTGACAGCAAGAGAATGGCACATAGACCCAACCCAATTTGGAAGCGCACCGATTTCAATGGGAATTTTCCCAGGCTAGTGTACATAGGATTTCTGCTTCCGTTCATATTTTTCCAGTTTCAGAACTGATGTAGTTTATAGTCTGCGTTCCGTCAGGGAACTCGGGTTTGCAGTCAAAAGATGTCTCAGTCTCCCAGCCAGATCTGGACCTGCTTTCAGCAGAGAGGCTAGAACAAAAAAATTATTGTAGCTCCACAAGTATCTGCAAGTACAGCCTCATCATTAGGCAATATGGTTCCTATGGATCTTTCCAAGAATCGCTAGTCACAAAGCCGTCACCAGATTTCCAACAAAGCTTTGCTCAACAACACCACAAAAGGCACAAAACAGTGGCATAGCGGAGTGTCTGAAGGCCAACAAAAGGAAGTTCTGGTGACCCCAGAGTAGACTGGGAGTGAGGAGAGTCTCTAACCCTGCAAAAGATCCAGATTCTTCCCATGCGCCTTTCTGGTTAGCGAGAGACAGAAGAGAGCACAGGGTTTATTTTTGTTTGTTTTTGATGACTTGCATTGTTCATGAATTTCATCAGGCACCAGCAATTTATGCTTTTGGGTACCTGTAATTTGTTTTGAATTTGCAACTTGTGATGTTGGCAATGTGTTTTTATGCAGATCTTCTGCTCAGATGAATAAGGAAGGGATTTAAAAGGAATGATCTCTAACCAGTGATCCAAGGCAATGGCAACTCCTCTCCCACTCTCATATACCATTTCCAGAAGCTCTCTCTCTCCACACACACCCCCGGCCTGCTTCTCCAAGCCGGGGAGCAAATCCTGGCTGATGGCTGAAGTACTGAGCAGAAAAGGCCCGCTCAGCCTTCCAGCTGGAACTTGACATCATCTGCCCCATGGATGGGTGAAGGTAAGAGAATGCAGCTCCCTGTCCCATTTTAATATGAGAGTCCCCTATGTTCTAGAGGGCTGCTCGTCACCTTTCAGCTCCTCATACCTGATAGGAACTAGGCTAGTGACTTTCTTAGAACAAAAGGCTTCCCGGTACAGGAGTTAAGAGAGACAAAAATTAGGACCATGCACAGCTTCATGGCCACACACAGTTTGAGCTTCCAATATTAATCCAAAGTGCACATTGAGAGGGGTCCTTTCTTCCCCTTGCATCTCTGTAGTGAATTAACTGCATACTAAGTATTGACATCCCAATGGCTACCACTTCCATTTATTAACAGAAAGGTCCAAGGGATGGAGAATGGACCTCCTGGAGGAAACTGGTGGGAGCATCAAGGATAAGGATCTTTGCTTCATCTTTGCCTTTGGTTCCATAAGTACACAAAGAGCCTTATTCTCTTTAGTAAAGCCCTCTACAAACTGGACCTCTCCTGTTTTGGAGTACAATCCCCACCAGCCCCAACCGACCAGCCCAGTGGTTAGGGATGAGGTCACTGTTGTTGTTGTTGACGACGATCTCTTTTCAAACATGATGGGTGTTGCTTCTGGGAAGGCTTGCGATTGAGGCAATTGCAAGCCTTCCCAGAAGCACTCACCTGTATGTCAGTGAGGCTCATGCAGGTTTTGTCCCTTACCTTAAAGGAAAAAATAGTCCTGTTTTTTCACCAAGAATTTACTACTGAGGGCTGACCTTTAGAAGTTTCTATCTCTGCTCTACTCGAAGGTAGTATTTTCCCCCCTTCCGATGAATGATGGCAGCTCGCACAACCCAGTAATCTCCAAACATATTTGACTATAACTTCTACCATGCAAAGCCAGTGGGCATGGTGGCTTAAGGCTGAGCTACAAGGTCTATCAACAAATGATTCTCCATCTTTACCTCCCAGGATCTTAATCAGAAACAGCTTGGAGAGGAAACTATTAAGGTAAGTCTCCTGCTGAAGCTGACATGACCTGACAAGCTCCAGAGAAAAGAGCGATGCAGGAGATCCTTGGGAAAACCAAGCCTGCTCTAGGCTCATCTCTGCGCAAGATCATGCTAGGAAGAAGGCAAACCAAACCAAACCATACATACCCGGCCTTTAGTGTCTTCGGCGTCTCCCCAGAGAATAGCTCCAGCTGCCCCCAAGGCAGCACTCTCTCCAATGGTGGAAATCAAGTCCATCTGGAAGGAAATATCCAAGGAGATCAGCCCAAAGATGTTAAGTATCCAGAAGAAGAGTAGGCTTAGTAGAATGCATATGACCCATTCCTAACTACCGCTATTCTTTTATTCAAGAAAGAGGAAAATACCTTTATAGCTTATGTTTCTGAAACGTCCACTCGTTTTCCAAAACATCTACTGCCATAAAGAAGCAGGACAGTTTTCAGACTAACCAGGTAAGCAGACGAGCACTTTACTTTTCTGACAGCACGGCAGGTAGCAGTTCCATTCCTTCGTGTAGAGATATTCTTGTGTGATTGCACAGTATAAGGTACAAAGAAAGGGCAAAAAGCATTGCCCGGACACAATCCTGAGGCATGTACTTGCCAGTGTCACTCAAGGACATGTGCCTTCTTGCCTTTTCAGTACCATTGGCTAAGCTTCAGATATTGACCACCTTTCCCAGTACAATGCTGGGTGTGCAACATTGAAATGTACAATAATAACACATCCTCTCTTAGTCACACATACAGAAACTGGGGAACCTGCCAGATTCCCGCAACATGCAAGAGGGTTTTCTCTTCCCCATTCTAAACTGTATAGGGCAATCCCAGACTTTGACATTTTTGCAGAGATATCACCATGTGTGAAGCAGTTTGCTCTTGACAACTTACAGCACAACTTTGTTTTCCTGGGAATGAGGTGGAAAGACCACGAGCGCCTGACCACACCTTGCTCTGTGCACTCACTTTTAGTTGCCCTACGCCTTCTCTAGATCAGTCCTATTTTGACCTGAATTCGGAGCTCCTCCTTCCTGCAGAAAGCAACTTGATAAAGAAAGTGCTGAAACATAGCAGGAAACCCCTGAAGGACAGATAGCACCCTGTGAATGACTTAGGCCAGCTGCTGGCAAGAACTACAGAAGCTTGGGAGCAACCTAAAGGCATTAGAGAAAGGAAAAAAACACAACAAGGAAAACACTTTTTCTCCAGACAAGAGCCATTTCTTTGCTGTCTCAGGAAAACTAATGGTTGTTATCTTTCCAGTACACATCTTCCCACCCCCTATGGGTGAGCGGGCTACAGTGACCCAGTCTCACCTGGTGTTCCTGAGCCAGAAAACAGAGGTTATCCCCAAGAGGGAAGTGTGACATCAGTTTTCATAAATGCCTATATGTAGTATTTCATATGCCCAGGCTAAACCAAAACCCAAAGGAAAAGGTCAAGTCAAAATTGGATTCTAGCCTCCAAAACCTAACTCCTATAGTTTTTGGCAAGGGGCAAACACGATCTGTCAAGCTGGAAGGAAGGGAGATGTGCTAAGTGTTGGCTTAGAAGATAAGAAAAGACTGCCCTTATCCTGAACGTCTACAAAGGTTATGGGCAAGGGTGGAGGAATCTGATTCCAGTTCAATAAACAGGGGAAAGGAGGTGGAAAGCAGCATTTGCATGCTATCCCACCCTTGCAATTAACTTTCCATCATGATTAACTTGCCGGGGGGTGTGTGAGAAGGGAAAGGAAGAATGCAGCTAGGATGCGGAAGATTTATTTCCTTGGCTAACACTGAAAAGGCAACAGGCAGGCGTTTTTTACTTGTTTGTTTTTGCAAAGTAAGCTAAATTGGCAGACCCACGTGGAAGCAGCTGGAAGGATCCCATTTCTTCCACTGCCACACATTGCCCTCTTCCTCACAAACTTCAGAATATAACCCAGCAAAACTGGGAAATATGGTAAAGAAAAGATGAATTTATCAGAGGTGACAGATTTGAGAATGCAGGTTTGTGGGGGAAAAACTGTGGCGTGAGAAAATTTCTGGGAGACAACAACAAATCAAATATGCTGTTCAGATACTATTCAACCCCCAACGTGTTCTATTGTCCATTAAGAGGAAGCCTTCAGCCACAGAGAGATTAAAGACGTGTTATTTTTGCTGTCCTTCAGTAACTGCTACATAGCAAGCAGAAACAAGTCAGCCAGCTGGAATTATAAACCTAGACGCTTACCACTCAAGCCTAAACATGTCTAACGTTATCATTTATTGGTGTTTCACTTACACTGCTTACCTTCCAAGCACTTTCCGTTAACCTGCATGTTTTCCAATTGGTAGGGATAAAAACCTCCATTCACTGGCTCCCACTCCATCTATGGGAAAAGCCAGCCACATAAAGGGCAAGGAGTACATTTTTGAGGCCCCAGTGCTCACCACTATCCATATATTTTCCCCAGATGCTCAGCTGTGAAGTTGCTCTTTCCCTTGGTAAGAGGCCAGAAATGAAGGCAAGTATGGGCAACAAAAAGCCTGAGATGCCTGCATGTACCACACCAACCTCTGCTTTTCCAACACAGAAGCTGGCAGGGCAGGAAACCAAACAGGTTGCCTCACAAGGAAGTTGCAATTGCCCAGCAGGAGCTGAAGTTTTTGTTTCAGCAACTTTTCTTGCCACCCTCATGTATGTTAAGGCAAGACAGAAAAGTCCTAAGCTCATCTCAGAGCCTTCTGATTTTGTGAACCTACAGATATGAAAAGTCAAAAAGTCTGGAAGGAAGTTGTCCATCATCAACGCCTTTCTTGGTGTTTCTTGTAAACTACAAGTAGGGAATCGTTGCCCCTCTCCAATATTTTGGCCTATAATGCCCACAATGCCTTGCCACTGTCCTTATAGTGAAGTTGTAGGCCAAAACATCTGGAGTAGACATGGGGTATTTCTATACAAATATCCCTGCAAAGCTGGCCTTAATGAAGGGCCAGCCCCTGGGGCCGGACTGTCTGTTCGCGTGGTGGCACCAGCCCTGCTCATCTTTCCAATTGCTCCCAGAGCCCCACTCTCTTCCTGTTCGACTAGCCACTCCAGGCAGGGGGAGGGAGGATGAGTTTCCCTGCACAGCTGCTAAGTGGCCAGCTGAGTGGGAAGAGAGCAGTGCTGAGTGATTGGAAGGGTGAGTAGGGGTGCCCCCCGGATGTGTGAATGGATAGTCTGGTCCCACGGGCTGGGCCCTCATTAAGTCCAGCTGTACGGGGATATTCATATTCATATACAAATACAAACACCCCCATCTCTAATCTGGTGTTTTGTTCTACAAGGTTCTGCATCCCAGTCATAAATCCAGCTGAGATGGGTAAATAGCACAGCTTTCACTTTTCTCACTGCAATGCATTACCCAGAGAAAACACCAGCCCCCAAAATATTCATTTAATCAAGGTGAGCACACAAGGTACAAGTAGCCAATGGTGAGGGATAATGGGAACTACTAACTAACTGGGAAGTACAATCTAAAAAGAGTTGGAGAGTCATAATTACCCATCCTTGACGTACAGTCAAACGTGTGAAAACTTTCTGGAAAAGTTAACTTCAGGCTGAGGCAGAACAACCAAAGTGAACTTCACATACTATCTCATACAGATCCTCCATCAACTTCATCCAGAGATCATCTCCTATTACACCCCAGGAAAATCTGTAGGAATTTTCCCCCCACACGTTGCAGTATTAACTGGCTAAGAAACTGAAGAAAGTGCAAAGCACTGCCCTCTGGGCTTGCTCACAAGTTCACAGTCCCAAGAGCACACATGTAGTTCTATGCCACAGTGCCATAAAGAAATAGAACGACCCTCAAGCCTGCAAAACCATACGCTCCCTCACCAGCAGGACCTGAGCCAACAAATTATATCCTCTCACCTACGCGATATGCCTTAGCCAGAGCTAAGCTCCCTACAGGAACTTTTGGGGGCGCTATTGACAATTCCTTCAGCTCTGTGTATTCAGCTGTTCCCAGGGACTGGAAGTGCATCTAATGCAGGGATTCCTGTCCATCAGAACAGTCCCTAGTACTATGCATGCCTAACCATTATTTTTAGAAGACCTGAGGTCATTGATAAAAGCACTCTCCTGCATCAGTGTTGCTACTGCCAGGCACAACTGACGAGACAGCCAGGAGCAGCTGGCTCCTTCTTTCCACGCACACAGTCTACTTCTCAGGTTTCCATTATGCCAATGGTAACCAGTTTCCATGCTGACAAGATTCGAAGCCAGACAAACATTATGATGGGTCCCCATTGGATAGTGAACCCACAGAAGGGTGTCTGATGGGAGAGGGAAACACTCCAGGTCTGATTTCTTGGTGGCTTGGTACTAATCAACACAGCAGTTGTGGTTCAATGACCATGCACCAGAAATTCTAATCTAAAAATGCTTCTAGGGTATTACAATAGTTCCACCCAGTGTGTGATCCATGCAGCCCAGAGCATTTAGGTATTGTGGTCAGCCCTCTGATGGCCAGATTTCTATTCTATCCCCGTTTTTAAAGTCTCAGTCAGTAAACCAAACATTTACTGAGTCTCTTGTCAGTCACGGTTGGTTTGGCGACCTTCAGCTCAATGGAGCTACAGCTTAGAAAAGATCCTGCTTTGGATGAGAACTCCCTGAATTCTCCAGCCAGCATGGCCACTAGTAGCCATACTGGCTGAGAACTGTGTTAAAATGTGTTTTTTTTCAGACTCTGATGGATCCTGGATCAAGCCTATGCTACAAACTGTTGCTTTAAGTTGAACAGATGCCCAGCATGCGTTGCCCTATTTCCTCGGACCAATCTGTTCCCAGTTCCAACGGGAACTTACCTCGCTTAAGTAAAAAAGCTCCTGCTTGCGAGTGTAGGTGGGCCTCGTGTAGACAAAGACTGGTAGGCTGTAGTCATCGTGATGTTCCTGGGAGATACGAAGGGCCTCTTGAACCCGAGACCTCACAAACTTGCGCCCGTTGCTCGTGTTGGCCAGCACCTGCTCCAGATAGATAGATGGGTAGAGGGCTGTGCTCTCCTTCCAAAGCCAGGCCAGGTGGTCATTGCGGGTCTTCTCCACATCAGGGCAGTGGCCAGTATAGCTCTCCTGGTTCTTGCAGTAGTCATGGTTATAGCAGTCCGGGAAGAGGTAGTAGCCCCACAGCTGCCGGGGGCGGAAATTCTTGGCACGTCGCAGAGTCTCCTTCATAAAGGAGCGTGCCGATGACTCAAATTCGTACTGAGCCTCCTTCTTCACCTGATCTTCTGGCAAGTCGGGCCGCCGGGCCAGCACAAGCTGTCGGGAGGCATTGCGGTAGATGTCCTTCGTCTGCCAGTTCCGGATCCAGATGGGCCTCCACTCTTCCCAGTCAATGACAGCCAGACCCTCCTTGGTGTCAGAGGGGATGTACTTCAAGATGTTGTCCGGTAACCGGTCCAGGTGCTGCTGCAAACTGCTGTTCTGTGGGACACCCCCATTCACGGCCACCTTCTGCGCGTCGTAGTAAGGGTAGAGGCCCAGGCGCTCCTTGTAGAAGATGTTCAAGCTCTGGTTCACAAACCCCTGGTTGGGCGAAGCGTCCGCATCAAAGATACTGAAGTCTAGCTGGATCTTGTAGCGAGGCGCGCATTCCTGCGTGGGCACATGCCAGGCAACAATGAAAGGCTTGCGGGTGAAGATGGGGGCAAAGGCAGGCTTCTCATGTTGACTGGGGGCACCAGCCGCAGCCAGGAACATGAGCCACGTCCCTGCCAGAGACAAGCCTCTCTGCATCCTCTCCGAACTGTCCGAACCCTCGCCAGCACCTCACAAGCAGAGCAGAGACGAGCCTGCAAAGGATAAGAGGCAAAAGTTTGGAGCTGTACTTAGGAAACAAGAGGGGAAGAGCCCAAGCCTTCTTGCACCACAGACCTTGGGCCTCGTCAACAGCACAGGCTGATGGGTTCGCCCCCTGCAAGACGTCTTTGAGGAACCCCTCAGTCTAGACTTGCATCACTCCACTTTGATCCTCAGCCGGAGCTCTCACTCTTCGAGGCTTTCCCACACTCACCAATGAGAACAAGGGAAGGAACCCTGGGCCTTACAACTGGGAACCTGAGACCCACCCCCCACAATCACACAAACAGAGCGTTGGCTTAATCCACGGCTTTCCCACACTCACCAATGAGAACAAGGAAAGAAACCTTGGGCCTTACAACTGGGAAACTGAGACCCACCCCCCACAATCACACAGAGCGTTGGCTTAATCCACAATGTCCTGAGGAGGAAACATGACCTCACCCTTACCACTCCTTCCTCCCACCCTGTTTAGTTGTTGCCTTGTGCTATTTCAATTGGTAGCTTTATTGTCTCCAGCAGTGGTACTAGATTCCCATGGGCTCTGCCACCAACCCCCCCCCCCCGCCCCAAAATCCACAGAGACAAGATCCAATGAGCCTGTAACCCTTGCAGAGGAAGAGTCCATTCCGCTCCTCAAGAATCAGCATGCAGTGTCTGGAAAACAAGTGTGTGCGTTTAATCAGCTCCAGGCCTGCCCCTGCTCCAAAGATGCTTCACAAGGAGGCAACTGGTGTTATTATTATTATTATTTTAAGTTCTTGCTTTCTCTCTCTCTCCTCAACCCGGTCTTTCATCAGCATAATCCTAGACCAAACTGTACTGACGCGCCATCGGTCTCAGTAAATAAACGGAGGGGTAAATTAGAGGAGGAAGCCCGTTCTGACTCTGGCAGGAGGAAGCTTTGCATTAAGAGAGCCAAGCATGCAAGGAACTTATACTTTGGTCGATAATTCCTTTGGACAGCCCTTAAGATTCAGGACTGGAGCGATTGCAGAGAACGTTTTGGAGTCCCCACTTATGGGGCTACTTCTTAATATTGGCAGAAGAGTTTGTGATTTTTTTTTTTGCAGTTTTCCACCTTGCCTAACTAACCCTGAAGAAAATCACCCCCCACTCCTCGCCATACCCGAAAGCACTCAACCCCCGCAAGTCCCACAACGTCGCCCTTTGTTCCCAATCGCCTCGGGCACACGCCGCTCCGTGGTCCCTTCTCTCCAACCTCTTCCACAAGAAGAGAGTTGACAGGGTGAATTCTGGGGCGGAAAGCAAGGATCCCCGTCTCAAGTAGCGGAGCAGAGGAAGGAAAAGTGTGGATGTCAGCAACTGCGGGGCTAACAAAGCCACAGAACAAAAAGGGCCGGCCTTCCGAGAGGGCGACTGGAATGAGCGGCTAATACGAAAGCGAATTAACAGAAGCAGCAGCAGAAGGGAAAACGATGAGAAAATCTCAGCTTAAAACACACACACACACACACTGGGAAAGCAATCGAAAGGGGTTTTCTCGAGCCGGGTCAGCAGGAGAGAGCCAAGCTGCCCTTTCCACGTGCTTACACCAACACCGGGTCACCTCTTCCAGGGGCCCCCGGCCGGCGATCCTTTGGGCGCAAACTGCTCGCCCCCAGCTCAGCGGCTTGAACCCGGCACACGTTCAGCCCAGCTGCAAACCAGCCTCCTCGCCCCGAACTATGCAAGCCCGGCGCGCGTGTAGAGAGAAGAAGTCTCCGCAGAAGATGGGCTTTTTCCCTCCCCCTTCCCTGGCTCGGCTCCCTCCAAAGGCATTTCTTTCACCCGCGAAGGCTGCCAAGCCAAACCAAGCACGGAAGGCGCTCGGCGGGCTTGCAGAGAAAACTCCCTCTTCGCGCCGCGAGGCGAAAGCCGTCCCGAGAAAGGCGCCCTCAAACACACCTCCTTCCCCCCGCGAGTCCTTCTGTTCACTTCATGGCACTCCTTCCCCGGCCAGTCAGACGCTCATCCAGCCTGGAGTCGTTCTCAGCTGCTTCTCCGCCTTTCCCCCCCTTCTCTCCCCAATCCTTTCGGAGAGAAGCACCCGGGATTTCGCCCTGCAAAAACCCACCTGGAGAACTAACTAATCACCCCCCCCCTTGCCAGCTGAAGTGCACTATCCTCCCGGGCACAGAGCATCCCCCCCCTTAAAGGGCACAGGAGCAGCCCAGATCCGCCCGCCCCCTTCTCCCGTTAGTCAGCTTTTCCTTTAAAAGAGCGACGTGAGAGACTGTCCCATGCCGACTCCTAGAAAGGGGGGGAGTCGAATAATAACTCCTCAGGGGGAAAATTTTCTGAATGAGCTATTTGGGCGGAGAAATAAAAGTATATATTTTTTAAAAAATCTGGTTCTTAACGCTCAGATGCAAACATTGCGGCGCCCGGTTTCTGTTCCAGAGCTGCCGGGTTTCACCGCTCCCCCGCCAGCCCGACTCTCTTGGTACATCCCAGAAGCCTTTTTTTCTTTGCTACGGCTCGCCTCTTAAAGGGACGCGACCCGTTTTCTCGCGGCGCGAGAGAATGGAATGCAATGTGGTAGCAGGCAGGGCGCCAGCGAGTTCGCCGATCTCGGGCGGCCAAGGCGGTGGCACGGAGCCCTCCCAGCTTCTTAAGCAAAGAGGCGATCCGTGGCTGCTTTTAGCATTGGGCTCCTCGGTACGGCCGTTGTTCCTTTATTCTCGACATCGCCAGGGACTCGGTCGTGGAATGTATTGTCAGTTGTAGAAAACAAAAGAGAGTGCCTCTTAGCATGTGCAGAGTGCACTTCCCTCGGGCAGATTTAATGCGCGCCTGTGAGCCAAGCTTCTCCATCGAGAGGTGCGACCATCAAAGCGTTGCGCATCGATAACCATGCTTTGGAGCACCAGGAGGGATTTCACATACTTTCAGCAACTCTGAAAAGGCAGATTTGGGGACTGTTAAGTGCATCGTCTGTGTAGAGTCCCCCCTGCAGCCGAGTAGACATGGTCTAGAGGGGCGGGGTAAAAATCAAATAAATAAATAAATAAAATAAATAATTAAGAAAGCACGAAAGGGGAGACTGATCTTAAACTCGCCCTTGGGCAGCACAGTATTTTCGGTCACCCTCCTAAGCAAAATCTGGAGACTGGCTATTCAGGAAGGTTGCTCTGGGGAGTGGCCAAGGCAGGTCACGTTAGGACACAGAAAGACTTGAATCTAGGATTTCCCCGTTGAGGAACTTGGGCACAGGGTAGGTTTGAAACAGCAATGCTTGAATTCCCGCTAGCTTTTGTTTTAACAATTAAAACCTGAAGAGACTGTTGATGAAGGTAGGCAGCTGTGGCCTGCCTGATGTTTTTCTGGCCTACCTCTCCCATCCACCTCAACCCACATGGAGAGGGATTATGGGAACTGTAGTTCCAAACATATTTGTGGAGTGAGCTGGTTCCTTCTGTTCCAGAAGGCGTGTTGGCTTTCCCCGCTCCTTCCCACACCCTCTCTCAGTGGCAAGTGGTATAAGGGTTGCCTCGGGAGCCCCAGTTCTATTATCAAGCCACACAGCTGTTGTTACGGCCAGCGCCTGGAGTCCCTTGGAGCATTCATGTGATTATAGACTGCCGATCAATGCTCCTTCCAGTGAATGGCCATTGTCTTGTGAAGGAGAGTCTTCTTTGCAGCAACGTGCCTCCTGCCTCCCTGGGTGGGTTCGGCAGGAGCAAGTGCGGCTCCCCAGTGTCCTGGCAACCAGGGTGCCAATGCAGGAGTCTGCCACTGCAAACAATCAGCACATTACTACCAACCAACGCTCTGGAGCTGTTCCAAAGTGCCTCTAGAAATTGGGAGAATAAACAGCTCTTGGAAGCCAAGATGCCAAATAGTTGGGTTTTGTTCAACAGTGAAGGCTGGCTCCTCTTCCCACATGCAGCCTTGCTAGGTGCACATCCATCACCAGAAGGCATGCTCAAGCCATCAGGGCAGATTCTTCCCGTTTTAGAAGCCCAGAGAGAATGGTGCCAGCTGGAGCCTGGAGTAACAGCAGCTTGAGCAGATCTGGTTCGCCCATTGAGTTTCATGGCTTGAGAGCAGACTGGATCCTGATTCCCCCCCCAAGTTGTAGCCCAACACTGTAACTGCTTTACCACACTGGCTATCTTCATTCCCCTACAAATTCTTACCATGCTAAGCAATGAGGCAGCTACCAGACACATAACCGATGGATTTGGGGCACTGTTCCAGAAGGCATCTGGCTGCAGGGCCAGAGTTTGGCAGTTCAATTCCTCACTGAGCCTCCTTGAGAGGGGCAGGACTCAATGATCCACAAACACTGTAACTGCTTTACCACACTGGCTATCTTCATTCCCCTACAAATTCTTACCATGCTAAGCAATGAGGCAGCTACCAGACACATAACCGATGGATTTGGGGCACTGTTCCAGAAGGCATCTGGCTGCAGGGCCAGAGTTTGGCAGTTCAATTCCTCACTGAGCCTCCTTGAGAGGGGCAGGACTCAGTGATCCACGAGTCAATGATCCACGGGGTCCCTTCCAGCTTTGCAGTTGTAAGGTGGTATTATCATTATATTAAATGGCTTCATGTATACTGTTCTCTTGGGCTGCCAGTGTGATGAAGTGGATAGGATGCTGATCTAGGACCCAGGAAGTCGTTTCGTCGTTTAGTTGTGTCCGATTCTTCGTGACCCCATGGACCAGAGCACGCCAGGCCCTCCTATCTTCCACTGCCTCCCGTAGTTGGGTCAGATTCATGTTGGTTGCTTCGCAGACACTGTCCAGCCATCTCATCCTCTATCGTCCCCTTCTCCTCTTGCCTTCACACTTTCCCAACATTAAGGTCTTTTCCAGGGAGTCTTCTCTTCTCATGAGATGGCCAAAGTACTGGAGCCTCAGCTTCAGGATCTGTCCTTCCAGTGAACACTCAGGGTTGATTTCTTTTAGAATTGATAGGTTTGTTCTCCTTGCAGTCCAGGGGACTCTCAAGAGCCTCCTCCAGCACCACAATTCAAAGGCATCAATTCTTCGGCGGTCAGCTTTCTTTATGGTCCAGCTCTCACTTCCATATATCGCTACAGGAAAAACCATAGCTTTAACTATGCGTACTTTTGTTGGCAAGATGATATCTCTGCTTTTTAAGATGCTGTCTAGGTTTGTCATCGCTTTCCTCCCAAGAAGCAGGCGTCTTTTAATTTCATGGCTGCTGTCTCCATCTGCAGTGATTATGGAGCCCAAGAAAGTGAAATCTGTTACTGCCTCCATCTCTTCCCCTTCTATTTGCCAGGATGTGATAGGGCCAGTGGCCATGATCTTAGTTTTTTTAATGTTGAGTTTCAGACCGTTTTTTGCACTCTCCTCTTTCACCCTCATTACAAGGTTCTTTAGTTCCTCCTCACTTTCTGCCATCAGAGTGGTATTATCTGCATATCGGAGGTTGTTGATATTTTTTCCGGCAATCTTAATTCCGGCTTGGAATTCCTCCAGTCCAGCCTTCCGCATGATGTATTCTGCATATAAATTAAATAAGCCGGGGGACAATATACAGCCTTGTCGTACTCCTTTCCCAATTTTGAACCAATCCGTTGTTCCATATCCAGTTCTAACTGTTGCTTCCTGTCCCACATATAGGTTTCTCAGGAGATGGATAAGGTGGTCAGGCACGCCCATTTCTTTAAGGACTTGCCATAGTTTGCTGTGGTCCTCACAGTCAAAGGCTTTTGCATAATCAATGAAGCAGAAGTAGATGTTTTTCTGGTACTCTCTGGCTTTCTCCATAATCCAGCGCATGTTAGCAATTTGGTCTCGAGTTCCTCTGCCCCTTCGGAATCCCACTTGTGCTTCTGGTTACAAATCCTTTTTCAGCAATGGAAACTCTCTGAGGGTTGGCAGTTATAAAACCACTCCTTAAATATCTCACATACCTTGAAAACCCTATTAGAATCCTCATAATTCAGATGCAAGTGACAGTGCATAAGAAACACAATACAGTACTTTTCTCTTACAACCTTTTCAGCTCCACATCTATCTGTTATGTACTAGTAATTCACAGCACAGACAAGCCTTTGAGATTCCCTGTGGCCTTTGATCAGTTTGGGGCTGCCACCTTCCAAGGGAGAAACATACCTTTTTTTTTGCTTCTAGACCTCATACACTCACAAGCCATTTTACTTTCTTATTTTGAGCCACCAGGCGAGCCAGGACCTTCCCTTCCCTTCCTGTGTGGAAAGTAACTCTGCCCAAGCATCACGTTTTAGAAAGCAACCACATGGGGTTGATGGTATATGTCAGACCTTTGCCTTTGCAAATTCTTTGTCAGCAGGGATGGCCAGAAAACAGGATAATATCCAGTATGTAACAATTACGGCAAAATTACCAAATTCCTGATCACAACAGGATATGGAAACAAGCACAGTATGTTCAAAGAGCAGCATAGGGCAAGCTCGCTCTGGGAGAGCAATGCTCTTAAATGATGACTGTGGTTGTTACCTCTAACCTCTGACAGTGCTCTTGTAATTAAGAGCGTGTTGACGCACGGCACAATTGCTTTAAAATTCATTCACAAAGAGTTGTGTTTTCAAATGCATTCCCTAGAGTCAAATTGAGATGTGACAGCAGAATATACACTTGTCCCCAACCATGAACTCCTTTAGTAGCTTGAGGCTGCCCACGCTTCTCTCAGCATTGGTCTGCACGTTGTCTCTGTGTGCAGTTTGTCTATGAGGAAGTTTTACAACTGAGCCCTAAACGAACATAGCCATAAATGCATGTAAATGTAACATATATCCAAGAGCCAATTAATATTTACTATGAAACTGATATTTAATTCAACATTTCATTCCGTTTCCATATGTCTGATGAAATGGACGTGTCCATGAAAGCTTACATTAAAATACAAGAGTTAGTCTTTAAGGTGTTGTCTCCTGTTTCTCTCTCTCTCTCTCTCTCTCTCTCTCTCTCTCTCTCTCTCTCTCTCTCTCTCTCTGCTTTGTTTCTTTGGATTTGGTCTGATGTGCTTGCACAGACTAACGTGACTTAGTCTGCCAAAACTGCCCATATGTGAGTGATGGGTGGGAGTGAATAATACTGTCAAGGAATATTGTAAGGATTACTAAAATAATATGATCAGTTCCAAATCTGATTGCTGAATTTAGATATTAATGAAGCAGTATTTAATTCAACAATGCA